ACATCTCTTTTTTATTTTTCACCTATTTTTGTAAAAAATTAATTGAAATAATTACTTTCCCAACGAGCTCTAAACCTATGTTTGGTTGGAGAAACCCGGACTAATAGAGGTTCTCAACATGAGAGGGAAAATGGATTTTTAATTTTGTGAATAAATTCGTCATGAAAAATGAAAGGAAAAAATTTTGGATTTATTTCATTTTTATTTTTAAATTATTATCGAATTATCTACTTAGTTCATAAATTATTAATTGAGTCTACTCCTAAAATATATAAATTAAAGTCCAGTTAATTTTTAAATTATCGATTGAATTTATTAAGTTTGTAAATTATTTTTTTATTCAAACTTATTTATTGCGCTATAAAATATTTTATTTTGAAAAACTCTATGCACGCATAAAATTTATACAAAAAGATTCGCAAGAATAATGTAGTAATGTCAATATTGTAAGTAAACTAATTTTTAATAATATTTTATTTTAAAGTAAAGAGGTTCATAACGAACCACATCATTATATATGAAAATTACATTTAAATTTTATATTTGTATAGTACTATCATTTTGTTTTAGGCTCCGTTTGGGGACTTACTTTTTTAGTCAATTAGTCAAAAAGTTACTAAATTAGTCAAAAAACCAACAACTCATACTAAAAAGTCAAAGATAGTCTTTTCTCTCTACTTTTTGCACATCTTTTCGTAATTAGTCAAAAAGTCATCTCAAACATGCAAGTTTTTTTACCTATCTTTTTAACTGAGTAATTAAAAAATTACTAAATTAGTCTGTTCCAAACGAGATCTTAATTTCCAGAGATTGTTAATTTAACGACACTGGCTATTTTTTAGACAAAAACACTGACACTATTACTCTCAGCCGCTACCTATAGCCGCGGTCAACAACTTTTTGGTAAACAAAAATATAAATAGAAGAAGAATATGAAGAGAGAAAGGAAGAGAGGCAAATAGATGGAAAGAATATAAATCGAATTTTGCAGCAAATTTCATTGTTAGTTACTATTATTGATCTTTAAACTAATAAACTAAGTAGGGTGATAAGAATGAAATGGCGGAGGTACGAATGGTGGTTACAAACAATGAACAAACTACGATTGAAAAAGACAACTTGATTTAAATTGGACTGTGGTTGAGAATATTGTGCAAATTATGTAATTAAATAAAATAAATTGTTTCATATCTAATAATTTAACTTGTAGAATAAGAAATCATGAAATTAAATTACACTAGAGATTAAAACATGATTAACAGAATTACATAGCAAACTAAAATATTAAAATAAGATAAAGAAGCAAATCGGAACTTTTGTAGTACTACAGTATTCTTAAAATAGATTCGCCACCTTACCGTGAGTGCTGGAAGTATGTCGGCATCTGTCTCCCAATATATGACAGTTAGAACCCACTAAAGTAGAAGCACATTTTGTTTAGCTACGACGAATTGACAATGGGAACACTCTCTCACACAGTTAGAACTCATTAACGCAGAAGCATATTCTGTTTAACTCCAGCGAACTAACAACGGCAGCATTCTTTTACACAGAAAGAATAATATGATAAGAGCAGACTGACTATAATATAAGAGTAAAGATTTTTTGTGTGACAACTAAAGAGAGACGTCTCTTTTTGTACACAAAGGGGAAGAAATGAGGAGCCTTGCGGCAACAAATGTAGAATTCAATTTCTTCAAAACTACCCAACTAATGTAGTAAAATTGATGGGACATGAGTGTGTAAGTTACACACAATATACACATGAGTGTATATATATATTAGCAACCACTTGGTCTAAAAATATTAGGTTGGTGGACCACCAATCCGGCCCAGCCAAAACCTAACCCATTCCCTCAAGCCCAAGCCAAAGTCCCAAGATCCACGTTTGAGGCCCGATCCGGGCAAGCAGTGCACGCATGTGGCAATTTTTGCATAACTAACTTGGACTATAATTTTGGCTCAAGACCATCATTTAAGCATCCATAACTCCCTTACTTCGAAAAAATTAGATGCCCTAAAGGACTCATGCCCTTATCAAAAACTTGAGATTTAAATATCCATCAATGTTTTTCTTTACAATCAATGTGAGATGGATAGTTATACACTATTTCTAATACCTCATTCATGAAGGCAACTTTATGAGACAATTTATCATTTAATTCTCAATGATTTTTAGTCATTCTTTTTATGGTGTAAATATCTTGTTATAAAGAATTTAAACTCATTTGATCTGACCTCAACCGGTGGTTGAGACATACTTTAATTTCACATTGAAATCACTATAAAATCATTTTTTCCAACAGAGAATTCTAGCAACTCATCAACTCAAATCTAGATTGTGGTTTTGAATGACGTCAACTCATTTCAGATATGGACAGTGGTTGTGAACAGAGACGAATCTGGAGGCAACAATGATGGATTTGGAAGAGACGGAGACAATAATATGTAGTTAAGGCACCGATAAACATATATATTCAAAGTATCGTTGGTAGAAAGATAGAGAGACGTATAGAGAAAATAATCTGCAACTGTTATAAGGTGTTTAGGATCTAAGGATTTTTTTGATCATTTATCTTAAAAATTTTATTTATCTTTTTAAACATTAAAATTTAAAATTTCAGGTACTTTCAGTATACAAACTTTCAATATTTTTCAAACTTTTCTATTCATAATTTCTCATAATTAAAGAGCAAACACTTAAAAAATGTTGGCACCAGAGGATAAGGCGATGAGCTATTATTGGAAAGAATGGTCCGAGCCAAGGCTAAAATCTTCCGACAAACCGTTCAATTTCTTGGAATTTTGTGGCGTACCACTTATGCGTGCCACATGTTACATGCAAAATACTGGACCACTTTGACATCTATAATTTGCAAAAATTATTAGGTGTTGATAAGATATTCTGCAATGACACCTTGTGGTATATTTCTTTAATCGCAAAATAACTATTTCTAATGTCTTTTGTTAGGTACTGTTAATGTATATATAGTATATATTTCTACATATATTAGGTATTGATTTCTTATATATATTAAGTATTACCATAATTAGGTCTCTTATAAGATGTTCTTTTTCATAATTAGATTTCTAATAAGATACTTTTTCTCAGCCTATATATATAGGGCTTCTATTGTATAGGACAATACATTCAATACAAGTCATTCAATACAATACATATTATATTTTCTCTCTCTCTACTATTCTAACAGGTACCAAACATGAATACAAATGTGTTAAACTCTACTATTTAAACCAATTAAACTATCCAAAATTATGCATGACCTTGCACCAGTTGAATCATGAACACTAAATATGTTAACACATTAGAACAAATTGAAGTTTTACATATATGAATTTAGGGATAAAATCACTTTTTATAAACAAAATATTTTAATTGTTAAAATTATAATCGTTGTGTTTTTAACAACAATATTGTATATTTAGTGATGAATTGCTATATTTTAGAACCAAAATTTTCATAGTAAAACTTTTTACACCAAATTAATTTGTCCCTAAAAATGTATTTTTGAGTGACATTTTTCAAAATTTTATCGTTAAAAGTTAATTTTTTGACTTTTTTAAATGATCTTTTAATGACAATTCTCGTGACAAAAAGAATTAATCCCTTATTTTTTTTTGCAACAAATTTTTATTTTTAAGAATAGAAAAGATTCCTAAAATCCTTATTTGTGGATACATAACTATGTGGTTGAATGGTTAAGAGCAATTATTGATTCTTTAGTACATTGTCACGTAGTGCCTTTTTTTTTATTTTAAATAGTTTAAGAAGTAAAATTTATCATAAAATGAATTCACATCATATTTGAACCATGACTTTGAATAGAAATTTAGGAGGAAAAAAATATATATATTATTTCTCTCACCTTCACTTTTCCTTTTAAATTCTTACTCAAATCTATGTTTCACCGAAAAAACACTTTTCCTTAGTTAGGTTTTTCAAAAATACTTTTCAAAAAATTTTACTTTCTTACTTTTCTGTGTTTTTTTATTTTTACTGAATTTTTTAAATATTTTAAGCAATTTTTTTTATTTTATTTTTTAGACATAGCTAACATAAATATATCTACAAAGTAAAAAATTTGTGAAAAAAACCTTTTAAAAATTCACTAAATACCAAAAATATAAAAAAAAAATACGAGAATTCATTACATTTTTTATATTTTTCTGCATTTTTTAATTTTTTAAAATATTTTTTCACAAATTTTTTACTTTTTAGATACATCTAAGTAAGGTGCATCTAAAAAAGTAAAAAAAAAATTAAAATTTTAAAAATATTCACTAAAAACAAAAAAATACGAAAACAAAAAAATCAGTTTTCAAAAAACTTAATCTAAAAAACTCAAACCAAACACACTAAATAATTTGCTATTCAAGCCAAAAAATTAGACTCAGTGATGTATTAAGAAAATGATTGATTGATAATTAAATATTCTTTAATTATCAACTAATTATTTTCTTGACATATCATTAAGTATGTGTTTGGCATGCACTAAAAAAATGCACTTTTTTTTTTGCATACATATACTCATTTGGGTCACATCAATCAACATCTATCAACATCTCCTCTCTATTTTTGTACCCACTTTCTCTACTTTTCGACACATTTTTTTTTTATAAAAAATCAAAAAGTACATTTATTTAAGCCTCGTTTGACAAGTGATTTTTTTAGCCAAAAAGTCAAAAAGTCACTAAAAAATCAAAAAACAAACAACCTATACCAAAAAGTCAAAGATTCTTTTTTCTCTTTATTTTTTGCATATCTTTTCGTAAAAAATTAAAAAATCATCCTAAACATACTAGCTTTTTTTACATCATATTTTAGTCAAAAAATCAAAAAATTACTAAAAAAAACCTGTTAAACAATCCAAACCACTCATAAATCTAAAAAATGGATTTAAAAAAATGAATTTATATATTATTTTTCTAATAATAATAGATGTAGTAGTTAATCCTTATTATATTGGATGATAATTACATTTGAACAATGTTTTTTTTCATTTCTTCCAATCCAAGTAAGAAAGAGTGAACAAACAACAAAAATCACACAGCGCACACACACATGCACTCACAAGCTGAAAATATCATATACAATGTTGTTCATTGCTATAATATAATAACTTGAATATATAAGACACAAATATATCAACCTAAATACACTTTTTATAATAATCAAACGGTCCATATTCAACCCTTTCATCATCATCAAACCGTTGTTACCTTCGAAACATAACTATTAACCAACGCAAGCGCAATGCTCGTGACCTCCTTCACCTTCACCACCCGATCACATACACCCGTCTTCACCGCCCCATCCGGTACATCCTCGAATCCGTCCGTACACGTGTTCTCGTTGGTCAGCGCAGCGCTCACCCACGTCTGAACGTTGCTCAATCGGAACCGGACCGAGCCGCCTGCGCCGCCGTATCCGAGCTCCCGCATCTGCTTGAGCGAGCCACTGATCTGATCTACGGCATCTCTGAAGACCGTAACGCAGTCGTGGAGGGCGGCTGGGGCTCGGGGCTCGGAGCCGTAATCAGCTTGGCTGGAGACGTTGGAGAGGTAGCCGACCATGAGTCGGGCATTGGAGAGGCTGACTCGGATGGCTAGCCGAGCGAGCCGAGCCGGGTTCTGCTGAACGGCTTTGGCGTAGCCGGAGAGGGAGGAGTAGCAGAGCTGAGGGTATAGAGTTGCGCCGCAGCTTGTACGGATGAAATCGGTGCCGTTGTTTGGGTCAGAGGAGAATCCAACGGTTGGGATTGGTTGGAGGAGGAAGAGTAAGGCTGCTGAGAGTAGGGCCAGAGATGATACAGGCCGTTGGTTTTTCATCATCGTTGGAAACTCCGAAGCAATGCAAGCTAAGGCAATGCAGTAGTATAGTAGTAGAGAGTATTGGAAGCAATTGGGTTGATGAAATGATATATGAGATAGTCTCAAAGTGTTGTAGAGATGTGGGTGTTTAAAATACACCTCATCTTTTGGTTTGAATTTACTATTATACCCTTATAAGTTTACAAATAAAGTGACTTCTAACAAATATTATTGGTAAAATATGCAAATGGTTTCCAAAATATGCGTCATGGGCAAATTATGAGTCATTTTGGTCATTGAAATTTGTCAATTTAGTTGTTATTTTATTAATTTTATCAGTAAATAGTCCTTATCTCTATTTCTGTTTACAATTGATAACAAAAGTAAAAATATTTTTATCAAATCAACTATGTTATATTGATACAATTTAAAATATCGAGGGCTAAAATGAAATAAATTATATATGCTGATGACTATTTTTTTTTTTTTTTTTTTTTTGCTGATTTGATGAAAATTTCATTACTTCCATTATCAATGCAAACAGAAACAAAATAGAAAATACTTAAGGACAAAATTAATATGTTGTAAACCAAATTGATAAATTAAAAATATTAAATATAAAAATAACACAAAACGTATATTTTAGAGAGCATTTGTATGCTTAACCCAAAAATATTATGTGTGCTCTGATAATCACACGTAAGCGCCATATAATTTTTCAAAAGGAATGATTATGTGGTTCTTGGAGGCCTCGGGACAATCCCCAAGAACATGGAATATTTTTTTGCCTCTTTTCCCTCATTGTTGTAATAATAAATAAATCTTTTTTTGCACAATAGCACCAAATAACTTAAAAATTGAACTAGTTTAGCTATCATGAGTGGGATTGTGTTTGTTTGATTTTAGTACTATCATGGATTGGGTTTGGTTTGGATTGATTTTAGAACAGATCAAAACGGCTATGTTCTTGGATTGATGACTTAAAACCCTAACCAATCCAGTAACTATATAACCATTTATATATTTTAAGTAAAATCTTATAATTTAATTACCTTGCCTGAATGTTGTTGGTCACAGATTGCACTTTAGCTGAGCAATACATTATAGGTAGCATGTTGTTAATTTTGATATAATCTATTGTCATTTTACATTATGTTAATAAAAAATTATAAATAATTTCAAAGTTTTATATAACGAAATAAGACTTTTAAAAGTTGAATTTTCTTAGGTTGGCATAGATTGATTTGATTAGTTTGATTTTGGCTCCAAGAATCGACCAGTTTTTGTTTTGGGTTTGGCTGTAATCCAAATCAAATCGTCCTATGCACGTCCCTTAGAAAACATAGACAGAAAAAATAATAATAATACATAAAACTAGTTTTCTAGTTGTGGGACCAACACTTTAAAACAAAAAAGTTTATCAAAATAAGTTTGAATTATAAAAATTGGATAATACTAGTACGCACATATGCACTTTTGTTACGTATTTTTATCATTATATGTTATGTATTTTTTTAATAGAGTTATGACAATTTATAATTTAGAATTAAATTACGTATTTTATGATAATATTACATATTTTTTGTGATAATATTATATATTGTTTTGTTAAAAAAAAAATAGATAATATTATTACCAATATAATTAAATATCACAAAAATTATAATTAATTTTTTTCAAAAATATATATTATAAAATTTTCTAGGAGACCCTATTTCAATTTTTAGAGGTTACAATCATAGCCACAAAGAGAAAAGTGATGGGCTGTTAAGCAATCCAATCATGTGGCACACGGAAAAAAGACCCCACAAAGTAAATTGAGATATGTGAATGCATTTTCAACAATTCCAAAGAAATTGATGAGAGGAAAGCGTATGAAGCCAAAATCAGACAGAAGGTTTCAAACACAGTTGTTTTTAAACAGCATGAGACAGAGAGGATTCTCAATTCACTCGTGAAGGAAGTGACAGAACATGTGAGATCCAACGCCAAACCCATGAACATCAACATGGACATCATCGGGACGTTTTCTAAAGTTGTTTGCTTGCTTACACAATCTCTCTTTATTATTAGCTTTCCAAAACCTTGTCATCTATTCATGTGCTAATATTCTACCTATCATGCTGCAAAACTTTTTGAAAATAGCAGTGCTATATTTACATAATTTCGTTTCCACAATCTCCATAAAGGAAATGACAAGCAAAATTTTAAAAGTTGACCCAAATTTTTTTTACGTGTGAGTCTATTTTTAAAATTTTTATTTGTGGAGATTGTGGAGGAAGAAATTATATGAATAAAACATTTTCAGAATCACAAACATTTTCCATTCCACACTAAGGTCGGTTTGGAAAGTAATTTTTAGACTAAATATGAAAGTGAAAAAACTAGTACTCCTTGAAAAGGATTTTTTGACTTGTTACAAAAAAATATGCAAAAAGTAGAATGAATACAAATAATTCGTTGATTTTTTGTATGAGTTCAAAATTTATTGATTTAACTTTTTTAGTAATTTTTTGATTTTTTAACTAAAATTTGTAATTGTCAAATGAAATCTAACTACACAGATTTTGGGTGTTCAATTTTTTTGTTTGAACAACAAATTTTTGCTATTTTGCTTGGTGTAGCTGTTAAAACAACTTATAGATTATTGATGTGTTTGGTTGGGGGATTTGAGGAGGGATTTGGAAAGGGAAATGGAAAAAGTGTGTGAAATTAGGTAAAATGTAGGTATATTTTATTTACATTTCACTTAACTTTTCCCTTTCCCTTTCCAAATCCCTCCTCAAATCCTCCAACCAAACACAGCATATAGCTTAACAGATTATAGATTATGATTTTACTCAGAAGTTGTTAATCTGTTTGGTGTAGCCGTTAGATTATAGATTTAAGTTGCTGAGTAGTGTTTGTTAAACAAGCTGTGAAATAGTTTTTTCAATTAATTTTTATTTTTTGTTTGTCTACATTTCTCATAAAAAAATAATAATAATAATCTATAGTTCATTTGAGTCTTTTTCTATTTTTAAAAAAATAAAAAATAAAAAAATCTAAGAGTATAACCATAAATTAATATGTCCACAGCAGAAACTGATAATCAGAAGCAAGGGGTGAACAACTTTTCAGAATCAGTTTTTTGAGTTAAAATAAACTGTTAGAATCAGAAGCTGTTAGAAATAAGTTTAACCAAACAGTCCAAAATAACTTTTTTAAAGCTAAAAGTTATAAGTTAGCTTTGAAAAGCTGAAACAAACACCCCCATAGTCAAGTTGTAGGACGATATTTTTCACGAACTTGTTCTCAAGTTGTATGCATTATAACATGACAGAAAAATTATGACAAAAACCCCTTGGTCATTTTAAAGACAAAAACTATAAACCTATAACAAAAACACATTTGTATGTGAATCACATTATAAATGTAAATCATTCGGAAGACTATGAAATGTAACAAAAACACATTCATATTATAAATGTAAGGTTTCATTTCATTTGGATAGATGAATTTTAAAGATAATAAATTTGAAGTTGAGTTTTATATAATATACATAGAGAGAATTGACTATTATAAATATATTGTGGAACTAAAGAGGATGAGAGAGTGAAATAAAAAAGCGAGTTATTTTAATTTGAGCTATTCACTTTAAAAGTTGTGTTTTTTATTTATTATTTTTTTTTGTCAATCAGTGAAAGAATAATTATAAATATGACAAGTATTACAATAGATCATTAATCCAACAATCACTGCTAACTACATAAAATCCCATCACGAGAGGTAAATAAATACTATAAATAAATTATTATTCATAAGAATTGAACTTGCAATCAATTATTAGCCAAAGACCCTGGTTATCACTTTAAAATTGTATTTGATTATTAAATTTGTGAAGAGATAGGTAAAGACAAATTCAATGTCTATTTCATTCACAAAAAGGTGAAAAAAAAAAATTGAACTTCTAATTTATTTACTTCTTTCTTCTTTTTTTTTTTTTCACTTTGGAAATATCTTTTACAAATTAATTTAAGATGTAAAGACACTCTAAAATATTAGTGCTTTTATTTAAATTTAAAAATCCAAACACCAACTAAATGATATACGGCAGTAATTAGGGCTTTTGGCCCGTTGACTTATTAATTGTGTAACATCACTTTGTATTATGAGACAATATATTCAACTTGTATAGAGATGAGTTTGATATTTTTTTATGGTATTTATTTCTAGCCTAATGTGGGGGTTCATATAAACTTTTTTAATGTCTAATTTAATATAATATTTCTTATATTTGTAATGATTCTCCTAGTACTTAGTTGACCCCTCCAAAAAAAATAATTTAAACACAGTCTTTTGAAAATTTTTGGATACTTGTTTGGTTATTTCAAAAAGTAAGTTCATTTTTCAAAATACATATTTTGAGGATTTTGTTCTTCACACATCACGTGAAGAGGCATAGGTATAAATACAGCCTATTATGTACTCCTCGTAGCCTCTTAGTTTGACATATATATATACATGTTATATATGTATAAAAATATAATTTGGTATGTAGTAATTTATGGGTACATATCATACCATTAAATGTGTGACTTCATTATAAAATTTACATTCATTTTAACCACAGAAAACGTACATTTTTTTTTCTCCAAATTTGCATTAAAAAATTTCTTTCATAGAATTAATTTTTTATAAATGTTATGAAGCAAATTGTGTAAATCGTAAATTTAAACATAAATTTACAATTTAAAAATAAATTTATGATTTTGTAAGTATGTAAATAAATTTAAACATATATTCACAATTTTTTAATGCAACTTTGTAAAAATTGGGCATATTTTGCAAAATTCCGTTTTCTGAATTTTTGTGTATAAATTCACGTTTTCCGGAATTTGTAAATATGTATGTTTTCCACAAATTTGTAAATAAATTTGCAAAAATTGCAGTTTTTTTTATGCCAATTTGGAAAAATAATTTACATTTTCTATGGTTGAAATGCATAAAAATTTTACGATAAAATGACACAGTTATGGTAGGATATGTACCCATACCAAATTATATTTTACTAATACATATATAGCATGGACATATATATATACAACAAAGATGAGAATATTTTTTG